GGAACATGATCTGTAAGTACAGTGACGGTGAGTGCGCCATCCCGATGGTGTCACGCCCCCAATATAGGTCATAAGGGACGTGGCCTCAACATTCGTCTACGCGAACACCACAGTTCATTAAAAGGCAGCGCGTACTCCCATTTAGCTGTTCACTGCCGTGATTGTGGCTGTGAGCCAAGATTTAGTGACACAAACGTGCTGTTTAAACACACATTTCAGCTATCGAGGGAGTTAGTAGAAGCTTACCATATAGCAAAACGAAAACCCGGGTGCGTGGCCAACCATCCATTAACCTAGTGGACAGTGAGATAGTTTTCTTAAACATGGCTTGACTAGAGAATTGAAGATCGAAGAAAGAAGAAAGGAGGAAGAAGACGCGATGACTTATACCTGTGCTGGAGTGCTTTAATATGCTGGTGTATTTTAATTTGATATGATTTATAATGTTGCGCGCTTAATGGCGAATGACTGGTGGAAGAGGAAAAAGGAGAAGCCGTCCTCGCGTGAATTTCTCTGTACGTATTCTGAATAGAGAGTATTCAGTGGCGGCCATATCCGTGTGCGCTGCTGCTGAGCGCGTGCTGACGGCGAGCTTCCGCAGTCCTTTTGGAGCGTGCATTTAGCACCATCAAGGTTGCCGGTCTTAGCAGGCTACTAATGTGAGCTCGTTCTGAGCATGCGCTCTAAACATTGCCCCCAAATATGGCGTCCAGTGAATACCTCCTATAGATAGTTGATGGTCAGCACCTCGTCCTGTGTGTTCTCTCCTCCTTGTTCGTGTGTTATTCGCGCTGTATTTTTTTTTCAATATGGCTGCCTTAGAACTTAACCTTTTACAATTGCTGTGCTATTCTTCCGATTTCTTAACATATTCATTCTATTTCCTTGTTTGTGCTGCACGCAAACATTAAAAGATTGGCTGGGTTATAATTTGAAAGCACGCAGGTGAACCGGTCAATATTCTGGCTCGGTTCGAGCTCCCGTTCAGTAGATCTGCTTTTCGTTCAGGTTCGAGTCAACAGTTTCAGTAATGATCTTGAAATAATGGTTCAGTTACCGATCCCACAGAGAGTGACCCAGTTCAAACCGGTTCTCAAAAAAATATCCACACATCTCGGCCGTTAAAAAGAAAAGTCCAGTTAAACAAAGCGTCCATATGCATTTAAGAAAAAAAAAATAGGTCATCAGAAGCTGCCGAAGCGAGAACTGCAAAACAAAGATATGCTTAATTTTGTTTTGTGATTTAGACTTTTTATCGCAAACGCCTTTTTATGAAAATTATGGGGTTATGCACGTGCTTGGAAACTACGAAAGTACCGTACTCACATGTAAAGCCAATCAGCCAGCGCGCACACTGACAATTGTCACCCAGGGAAGACAAGAAATTTAACCGGTGGAGTAGGACTGTTAGCCTAGGGTCTGCTGCGCTGCATGAGCTGACAGGGCTCGTAGTGTTCGTTGCCGCACATTGTAAGGTAAAACAAATGTATTGTCTGTCAGCCAACTTGAATTTCACGCCGAGTCGTACGGTTTAATATGTTCCGGCAACAGTTTTTAGAGCGCAGCTCTTAGGCGCCCGTTTCCAGCTTGAGCGGCGTCGCCATGGGCGTAACCGCGCGGTGCATTATGGGTATATTTAACGGAAAAATTTCCCCGCCAAATGTAGCGGAAAATTTTTCCCGCTTAATCTAGCAAAAAAATTTCCCCGCTAAATTTAGCGTAGACATTTTCCCGCTAAATCTAGCGGAAAAGCTTCCCCACTAGATAAAGTTTCCCCGCTAAATCTAGGGAAAACATTTCCTCGCTTTAGCGGAAAAATTTCCCCGCTAAATCTAGCGGAAAATTTTCCCCGCTAGATCTGGCGGAAAAGTTTCCCCTCTAAATCTAGCGGAAAAATTTCCCCGCTAGATGTAAAGGAAAAACTTCCCCGCTAAATCTAGCGGAAAATTTTCCCCGCTATATCTAGCGGAAAAGTTTCCGCGTCAAATATAGTGGAGAAGTTTCCCCGCTACAGTTAGCGGAAAAATTTCCCCGCTAGATTTGGGGGGTAAATTTCCCCGCTAAATCTAGCGGAAAAATTTCTTTGCTAAATCTAGCGGAAAAAGTTCCCCGCTAAATCTAGCGGGGAATTTTTCCTGCTAGATTTAGCGGGAAAATATTTCCCCGCTCAATCTAGCGAAAAGATTTCCCCGCTAAATTTCCCCGCTAAATCTAGCGGAAAAATTTCCCCGCTACGTCTAGCGGAAAAATGTCCCCGCTAAATCTAACAAAAAAGTCTCCCGATAGATTTAGCGGAAAATTTCTCCCGCTAAATCTGGCGGAAAACTACCTCTGGGGTTTGCAATACATTTTAGCGCTCAAAATACAACGACAAAGAGACGAGAAACAGACAGCACAGTGCGCACTGTGCTGTCTGTTTCTCGTCTCGTTGTCCTTGTTTTTTGAGCGCTAAAATGTATTCCAAGTTTCAAAACCAACTAGCCCAAGAATCTACTCTACTGAAATTTATCTCTGGGGGTCACGTGACCACCCCCCCCCGCGAGGTCACGTGACAACCCGAGGTCACGTGACACCCCCAGGTCACGGGGGGGTTGGTGACCTCGGGGGGGTGGGGGGGGGGTCACGTGGCCCCCCACGTGGACCCCCCTCCCACGAGGTCACGTGACCCCCCCGACGTCACGTGACCCCCCCCCCCAATCCGAGAACACGTGACCCTCAGTACCCTTCCCTCCTCCTCCTCCTCAATAACTGCGCTCTAATTCGGCGTTACAGGGAGTTGTAAACGGGTTTCACTTTATTTTTTTATTCCGTTTTAGCAATACTGAAACTTTCTATTGTAACCCTGAGGGCAGATTTACGTGCGTCTTTGTCCCGAACGTTGTCGGCCCTATACTCGGAAGGTCCATTGGATCGTAGATTCTGTTGCGGTCATACATATTGTACCAGTCTAGACAAACGGAATATTGTACCAGTCTAGAAAATTCACAGGGTCTCTTACATTAATCCTAAGACGACTTGAAGGCGACAGCCCAAGCGCCGACACATTAAAGACAGAAACATGGTTTACATTTTACATTCTCTTTTTTGTTTTTGTTTTATGTTTTCTCTAGATTGAGCGCAAAATTCCTCGTAGTCCGTCGCCGGACCAGACATCTTCAGATATATTATATGTGACCACTATACTACTCGGTAGACGTCCGCGTCCCACACTGCTTATAGAGCACCTGGCGCTGGCAGCAGCCGATGCAGCAGCTGATGCGCCGACAACAGTCGATGCATTAATGATTTACGGATGTGGCGGTACCCCTCCGTCCCTGGCGGAGGGGTACCGCCACATTCGTAAATTATGTGTCTGCCGGATTACTGAACGAAAGGTCGTTGGTTCGACGCCAGCCAAAGGAAAAGAGCGAAAACTATTTTTGGAGGGTTGATTCTGTCACAAGTAACGCCATCTCGCGGTCCAGTACCGAACCGCCGGTTTTCCTACCTTTCGTATCGCCGGTTCTAGTACCTCTTGTGTTTCGACGTGTTCTGGCTCAAGGACATTGAAGGTCGAGTGAACGATGAGACATATACGGCTTGCGCCTTAAGAAGTCAAAGGTAGCCGGTTGCAAATAGCCAGCGTTTCGCTATTTTTCGATCATTGCTGTCGCAGCGTACCAGCCGATCATGGGGTGGTTTTGGGATGCGCGCGTCTCACGTGAGGCATTTGACGTAGATCGCGACAGTTGTCGCTCAGGCGCTTTAGGGGTGTGCGCGTACGCGGCAGTAGAGACATAGAAACGGTAATTTTGTTTTGTGTCGTTATCGCGTACATCACGTCACAGTGGTAGGCCAACCGTAAACCGGGCGTTTTGTCGCTTTACTTTGACACGATGTATGCAAAGGGGAAGTCCGTCCGCGCCTTGCGCACCTCGCTCGGTTGTTTACTTCCCAAACACGTCCAGGCGCCTTGGTTTCCCCCCTGACCTCGAGCTAACGTTACTAAAACACTCAGTTGGGAAAAGCACCCTTGAAACCCGGACCGCTTACGTTCGGCGACACGAAACAAAATTCGATAACAGCGCCACCCTTTAGCGACTTGTCAAAACATGAAAGTTTATTTATATTTCAATTGCGAAATGACGCCACTGCATGGCTCTGCGCGGCTCGACCTGAACCAACAGGTGCAGCCGTGCAGTCCCCGGATGCGTATTTCTAGCGCGCAGGCAATAAACCCCATAGCAACGACGCTCACGCTGGAAGTTAAATTTCAGATTCGGACGCCAAAATATATTCGAGAACGTTTTCAATAAAATAAAAAAAAAGGTTACCAAAGCTACTTCAGGATATAATAGGCATTTCTGGGCGGCGAAGTGGCCCAAGTGTCATCCCACTAATTGTTCTCTTAGGTTGAGTGCTTATATTCGTTTACTTTTTATTATGAGCAAAGTGGGGATTCCGTCGTCTTCAGACTCAGGGTAATATGAAAAGGGGGGGGGGGGGGGGTCCTGATTTAGCCCGCATTGCTATATTAAGTTTTGAGGCTGCTAATGTGTCAAAACGCGTAGTGGCTGTGACCGATTTGCATGTAGGATTCATTGCATCAATGTTCAGGCAGCACATTTTTGGACGTAAAGCGTGGCCGGACGGTAATATAAGTAACTACGGATTTGCGCGTTGACGATGCGCTGGTGCGTACTCGAAGAGCTTCGAAAACTTCGAATTAACAGCGGCGTAAGCCTTTCGCAGGCCGCACCGTTCTAGTTGTGCCATTATAATGGAACTCATGACTTTTTGGTACTATAGTACCAAAAAGTCATGAGTGGACGTGTTAGTAGCCATCGGCGGCTATAGCCGCCGATGGCTACTAACACGTCCACTTAAAGCCACTGTGGTCTTGCATGTTACGCGTCCACTTAAAGCATCTCAACAGACTATCGGTGTGCACTCTACTGTAACACTCCTCTAGAATAAGCGCCAATGCCGTTTCTTTTTTCTTTGTTCCCTCTTCGTCGCAGTCACGGCGGAAGGCGTTCAGAAGTTTAAGGTGATGCCCAGCGACACCCAGGTGAACCCTGGGGAGAATATGACTCTCCAGTGCCAGGTTCTCAACCGTCGCGGCGATTGTGTTTGGCTGAAAGACGACCAGGTCATCGGGAACATTTCGGGTAAATACAGCTTTGAGATGGAGCCAGAAGACGGCGACTGTACGCTGCAGATTGTCAACGCCACGCTCGAGGAGGACGACGCCTCGTGGAGGTGCCAAGTGACCAAGGCGACGCGGAAAGGCTCCCCCCTCACCTCCTCAGCTGTCAACCTCGTCGTTCGAGGTATTTATGTATTAAATATTTTGGATATTTAGCGTAACCCCAAAACAGCCAGCAGGCCTACATATTGACGCAGCAGAAACACACCGAAAGCAATCCCATATAAGTCATGTACAAAAATGGACATGAGCGTATATACTTTCCCATAAAGCACTCACAGAACCCATCACAGTAATCAAAGGTTTTACGAAATCGTGATGTCTACGACCTAAGACTTAACATAACGCGAGCACGAGAAACGTCACGTTAAATTTCATATCGATGAGTTGTTATTTTGGGTGAAAACATTCTTCGTGGTTACGTAAGTGTCCGAGCTCTGTGCATTCATTTCAGGTGTACGCTCTAACGATGCGCTTTGCGGAAGAATGAATGCGCGGTGGAGATTCTTTAAGACTCATATCTTAAATTAAATGCATACTTGTGCAAATCGAAACACATTAAATGTAAATTCGCGAACAAAAATTAAAACCGGCCTTTACTTTTTTAATGTCGTAGCGGTTATATTTTTGAAGACTGTCTGAACCAAATTTCAGCTGCGGTTCATTCATTCACTGGAGACTTATCTTATGTGAACAGCGTACTTCTACGTACACTAGGAACTCTCAAAACGTTTGTGTTGTTTAAATGTTTACCATATTTATAATGCGTCTGTTCATTCAGCGGACTCTAAATATAGTTCTGGTTTTGTCAGTGGAGTACTAGGAAAGAAGCTTTTCGAACTGAGTAGTCTTTTTATTAATTATGCTTTCTGTTTCTTCAATATCTAATCCACATGTTCAGATTCCCAGTCCCTTATTATTTTTTGAAGCTAAAACTGCCACAGCCAAAATCACAATGTTTCAGGTGTGCATCCCTCTTAAAGGTTAACTCCGGTCACCAGCCGAACCACATTAAATCACTGATATCGTTTTTCGCATACTAAATACGAGCACTGCCTAAATAATACACAAATCGGAAACCATGATCCACTCTAGAACTTAAATTTAAAATGCTATCACCAGCTTCCGGACGGGTATTAAGCGGGTTGACTGTTTGTCAGGCAAATTTATGGCCCGATGTTATGTACGAATATCAAGCGAGTTAATTTTTGTACTGCCACTTCTTCCGCTGTGCTTCTCTATTGGGTTTTCAGCCTTCCCGGGGGAAGGATTTCTGCTTGTTTTGGTATGTTTTACTCGCCGTCGTTTGTAAGTTTTCCTCAGCGATTGCGCACAAAGATTACTGACGCACTGCTCGCTCAAAGGCATCTTGGTGTCGAAGTACAACAAGCAAAAAGGACTGGCATCGTTATGCAATACCGAGCATACCTTTCTATTCCTGTTCAGCCTTCCTGCTTAGCTCAAGCTTACGATAAGCTTCCACAACGCTGCTCCAGCGTACATTGCACACCACCTAGCTTATAGCTCTTCTACGAAAATAAGTGGGGGCGCGTTCTTAGCCTGAGCTGCGCCAGTGAATACCATCACGTCGAACTTGCTTTTCGGCCAGCAATGTGCCATAATATTTGCTACAGAGATGTGATATTCACGAAAAAAAAGCAATAAAACAACAGTATTATCATTGTCTGATCGGAACTGCGCTTGCGACCAGGCCAGTCGTACATTTTGCGGCACCACGGTGCGAACTTTGCATCACACAGTGGCCATACAGCTGATCCCCAGGGTTGGCATTTTCTCAAGCCGGTAGTCGCAGTTTCGCCGTAGACCCCCGGAACAAAATTCGAGACAAGATATCTACAAAAGTACATAAGTCGACTAAAAAGAAATTGCACCTCGTGAATCAGGGACACTTCCTGCACTAAAAACAGTCATAATCCTAATATTAACAAATTGCTGAGCACTTATGTCTGTTTTCAATGTGTGTTGATAATATATGCCAGAAGGTGATGAAAAAATAGAAAAAAATGATATAAGCGGTTTTACACATGATCAAGAACAAATCCCCCGTTAAATGTAGGCGTCCGCGATTGTGGCACCTACTCATTTAAGGCCTCTTTTTTCTCCCCAATTTTAATAGAGTGGAATCGCCTCCTTGCGCCCTTAGTCACAATAATTGAGGCTGTTGATTTTAAAATTGTGATTACCAATTTGTTTCGTGTTCCTTAGCCTTTTTTATATTTTTGCCTAGTTCGTTGATGTACACATCTATTTCTTTACTTTTTTTCTTTTTGTTAAAACACACTCTTTTCCGTAATGCCCTCGATCCCAGAAAGAAAATAAATTAAATGGAATGGAAGGGCGTTGTCGGATCACATAGGAAGACCAACCGTTCTTTTTTTTTCTTTTGTTTTTTGTATATCGACTCTGCTGGAGGTAGCACTTTTTGGTAATTGAAAACGGCTTCCGAGTAGTAGGAATCCGTAGATTTTATGCAATATGTATGCGTGAGAAGTAAAGCAAATATGTCATTAATTATTTTTCAAGTTACTTTCATTTGTCACATGAAACTTTACGGCAGACCTTTAAAGCTATGTAATAATTACAAAAGTAATGTAACAGATTGGTTTACTTATTATTCACTTTTTCTTAAAAAAGGAACATACATATATGCAGTTGTAATCAATGAGCTACGCTCAGTCAACTCACCATCCTCGAAACTAACTGAATTGTGCTAGTAAGAAACAAAGTGCCGAAGAAAAACTCCGGCTTGTGTTGGCTTCTCCTATATTCCGTTCACCCTTAAAGGGACCATGCAATGACTTTTTACTCATTTTTAATTTGCACCGAACCTGAGCGCACTGAACGTAGTAACTTAACGAAACCTTTCTTTTCTCCAATTTCGCTTTATTTTAAAAGTTATAGGCAAATTAAAATTACAAAAACTAGCAAAAAATAACCTTCTTTATGACGTCCTTGGTTGCTTGAGTGGCCGTGAACTAGTGGAGGGATAGTGAGCTCAGCGAGCGCTCACGGCTGCCGCATTCCGTGTCGAAGGCGCGAAAGGGCGCCACTAAAGCATGTTCTGGACAGACTGAATGCAGCGGGCTTCCAGGGCGGCTCACATTGCATTTGTTGCGCGATTAAACACTAATTCGGCATGACACTTCATTGGCAACAAACGACAGCAAACGCGGGGTAAAGATCAGCTCAGAATGGGAGCCACTTCGCGCTGCCATACCGCGAAACGGCCAAGCCGCCATACAAAGCTGCTCGCCTAAGGCCTTCGGAACGCTCGGAGCCGGTCGGATCCTCCGTCCCTACGACCGCAGCGCCGTCGCGTACATCCGGTACCTTTCCGTATCGGCGCCTGATCCCACTACTCCTTTCTAGTAATCGCCGCCTTTTCCACCGCTTGGTGGCGGGTATGTCGACGGGTCATTTCTTGTTTCCGTACTTTATAAACTACATTCGTTTCTTTTCTGATCTAAAATACTGAACAAAAACTACTTTTATACATAATTGAAACGGTTCGCGCCACTTTTATTTTGTATTTCGACTAAAAAGAAGCTTTTAGCGGCTCTGACCAGTAGTAAGCCAAGGACCAAAGACATCACATTTTGCGCGCTTTCGGTACCGCGGGTCGCCCTCGTCGGTGGAGGAAGTTTCCGCGTCGTCCGGTTAAAATATGATGCACTGATATTTAGTTACTCTCTCCGTGCCCACTGGCTTGCTCGAACCCCAAGAGACGTGGAAACCGCAAAAAAAGTAGACGCTTAAAGGGGTACTCCGCCGATTTCTTCATGGTCCCTGATTTGCTTGAAATTTTGCTGAACTCGGCAAACAACATCGCCAAAATAGTATCCCAAATATTAGGTCAAAATAATTTTTTTTTTCACGAAGTTATTGAATTTACAATTTTGGTCCTCACCGTGTTTTTCAAACTGAAAGTCTCTACTGGCCACAATGAAAAAGTGACGTCATTGGAAGTGCATGGGTTCACTTTTTGGACTGTAGAATTTGTTCCCAACTGATTCGAAGCAGTTTCATGGTGTCAAATGAATGCTTTGGAAGCTCGCTCCAGTCCCCGCGCTCCAGCACGGAACAAATGATTGGCATATTCTATTTTTTAGACTGCTCGCCCGACTGGCAAGCTTGCCTTCCACTGACGTCACGGCCCTGAAAAGGGCGGGTAAATTTGAATGTTTGTTGTTGCATCATTTTAATTTGCCGATTTCGCAATAACTATTATGTATTTCACGATACTGATTAGCATACCAGAAAGGGTAAAGGCCGGGGAGTCAGAAAATATAGTTAGTTGAGGTAGCTCAAAAATCGGCGGAGTAATGTGATTGCAGGGCCCCTTTAAGCTGAGATCGAAGCCACTGCCACAAGCACGAGAGCTGGAGGTCGCTGCTTCGAAGCGTTCTTCCGCAGAACTGGCACTCGCGCTAGAAATGCAAGTCTCGAAGCCAGGAGTGCGGGCTAGCTTGAGCGTGTAACTTTGGCTGCAGTCTCAGCTTAAGGGTAACTAGAGAATAACGCCCGAGTCCCTTTTTATTTACCACTAGATCGACAAACAGAAACAACTGACACCGACAAGCCTCAAGCGAGTACCATATGCACATGAAAGTGTATTTGGAGGACTTGTTGTCACTCGTGCTAACATCATGAGCCCCGAAGGACATGCAAGCCTAGCAAAAGTACATTTCCGTGCACTGCACGCTCAAAGCGGTTGAAGCTTGCCGATGTCGGTTGTTTTCATACGTAGCTTCTGTAGGCTCGGGCATAAAAGCACATTGCACCGTTCTCCTACGTTTTTTTTTTTTTTTTCTTTTTTTTTTTTACGTTGCGTATGAGTTACCGAAGCATTTGTCTCAAACTACGCGTGCCAGGCTGTCTCCTTGGATGTTTAGCCACGCCGAGTATTACGCGCAGGCGTCCCGGTGACTAGTGGCGTAAGCATACGTAATCTTTCGTAAAATAGCGTAACGTAAGAAAGCGGGACTTGAGGCTGTATGAACCAGCCTCAAGGCTGGTTCACACAGCACCGTTTTCTTGCGTTTCCTTGCGTTACGTAAAAGTCACCAAAACATTTGTGTTTAGAATGTCGCCTGCTAGGCTATCTCCTTGGACTGGTAGCCTCGCTTAATATGAAGCACAGACGTCCGGGTGACTTCAACGTATTTTTTGTAACGTCATAACGTAAGAAAATGGGGCAGTGTGAACCATCCTTTTAACAGATAAGAGAGAGAAATGCACGACCGACAGTCATTTTGTAAAGGCACGGGCACGAGTGCGGCCGAAATATACCAAAAGTACTATTTCGAACTTACGAAAAATAAAATTCATATATATATATATATATATATATATATATATATATAACAGCCAGACAAAAGGAATACTGGAAGAAAGAAAAGCCTGAGAAAAAAGGGCGTCGGACTCAGGCCAGGATCACCGCTCCCCAGTAGGCTGCGCAGACATGAATACACCACACGGATTTTGTCAGACTCCATCTAATTTCATCGTATAAAGTTGCTTTACGGATGATCTTTATGACGAATGATTCATGGTATTCAGTTGCTTTGTGCACCCATGATCTCAGATTTTCACCCTACCGAGTCATTGTACAGCATAAAAAAGTTTTAGTACACCGCTTTTTGCAACTTTATAGAATAGTGTATAAATATATTTCCAGCTATTAGTAATCAAATATTATGTACTTTGAGTAGAACATCGTGTAAAATATTTACCGATAAACGAGCCTGGTGGTGATTACCGAAGCTGCGAAAAATGTGACATAAAAAAGGGAACCTTTTAGCACTTGCTCTCAATTACCTCATTAGGGCAAGAGAAATTATAGTTAGTGTCATCTATAGGTGTTGCCGCAAAGCTGTCGAGAGAAAAGAAAAGGCTCCATAAATTCAAACGCAGGTTTTTTTACCACAATATATTTTATTGCATTTTTTATTTTAGTTTGCCAGAAGAACCCGATAATGGCGCGTCATCGGTATCGGAGCTACCTGTAGCCCTGCAAAAGTAATACACTACAACTTTGGATTCCGCTGGCGTCATTTTTGTTCTTTGCACGTCTCTCGAGCACACCTTTATCTTTCATGAAGTAGTCAATCTCAAGTTTTAAGGTAACATCTCAGATACAGCATCTATCATCTCTCTATTTCTTATTACCTGATTGTGTGCTTGTGTTCTGCAGAGCAACCGCGACTCCCTTACCTGAAAGAAGTCACAGGTTCTCCGCACCTCGGAGACAGATTCAAAACAATAGCTGGCGATAGACAGAGCTTCCAGTGCGTGTCTCGTAAGGGGAACCCTCCAGCATCATTGCGATGGTTTTTGGACTCCAACGACATCTCCGACCTGGCAAACCAGACCAACTACATGGACGTAAAGAAGCCCCGCACTTGGAAGGCTCTGTCCGTGTTAAACTACAATTTTACCGAGGCAGACAATCGCAAGAAACTCAAGTGTGTCGCCTACCACAGCGCGTACGAGAAGACAGCCCAGGAACCCGAAACCGAAGGACTCGGACACCGAGACGTTGCTGTCACGCTGGACGTGATGTGTGAGTGAAACATCTCAAGGTTCTTTATCCCTCTTTCACGTGTTCTTGTTACTTTGATTCGGCGTTTGAATGAAATGCATGTGAGATTCCGCTCTTCACCTCTCGTTCTTGAGAGCAACACGCGTATCAGCCTTTTTTCGAATCACCACTTATCAGCGCGCAACTGAAGCACCCTCGGCTCGGTGAATTTTTGGATTTTCCGCTGGCGCAAGTTGCGCAACCGCGAGGGGTATTGGTCAAAAGGCTTAGAGACGGACGTTGTGCGTGAGTTAGGTCCGATTGTTCCGTTTTGCAGTGTTAGCATTTCTCTAATTGAACGGTTGTCTGGCTATCTGCGTGTCGTCAGGTGCACAAATAAGTTAAATAAGCATAAGAGCAATAGCGGAAGTGTGCGATGAGCACAGGAAGATGCGGCGCGAGTGTGACTGCAATTTTGTTTAGCTTTCCGTGTTTCCAAAGGATTTTATTTACGAAGTCGGTCGATTGCGGACATGAACCGCGAGGGCTTTTTATCAAATTAATTTTCACGTTTTTGTTCACGACTATTTTGATTATACTTTCTCTAAAATAAGCGGACCGATTCCAACCCTGTGCCGGTGCTTTTATTAGGTTATTAGTGAAAGGTATGCTGTCGTTTCCATGATATGTGAAGGGTATGAAAACGTCTAGGTGGCCCAGCTCAAAACAGTTATCAAATGCCGAGTGCTTGCCTCCGTAGACTACATTAAGCTGCCTATATATTCTTTCGTAGTGGAAACTCAATCAAAGTACCCTACCATCTTTGTCCTGAGCCTGTGCCTGTCATTAGCAAGCTCGATTAAACCGGCCATGTTCCACCAAGTTATCGCAGCCCACCATAACTAAGTCTAGCCATGTTTCGCCCATACCCACACCGTTGCCTAACCAGGAAGATCTTCTCCACAGCCAACCGGTATTTCCTTTCAAGCCGCTAACCAGCCTCGTCGGTGCGGCAATTCTAAAGAAGGTGACGCCACAAAAAAGGTCGAGGTACACCTAATCACTTCTTATGAGTTGCGAATACGAAATCATGTACATCAATATCGCTCTACGCATGTTGGCGCGCTGACTGGCGCTGACTTGAGTTCCTGTATATAGCTATGGGAGCGTATCGAGGAACTCTAGCGCTGACGGACACGCAGCGCCATGAGGTGGCCCGTCCTTGAAACTGACGCTGTGCTGGTTCTTTCTGCTGCTTTTGCCCGTTTATTTTCTACTTTTATGAAATTCTTACTGATCGCTTTTCTGGGCCTTTTCTTCATAGATGTTTGAATCCAGAACCACAAAACCTCCATAGATGAGGGCATCCAAGTTTTTGAAAACCTAAAACACCAGGGCAAGGCAAAGGTGAGCTTCAGATCTACCATTCAAGAGTTACGAAGGAAAGACCTGAAACTGTGCGTCTCGGATAAAGAAGGAGGTTTTGTGGTTCTGGATTCAAACATCTATGAAGAAAAGACCCAACAAGCGATCAATAAGAATTTCATAAAAGTAGAAAATTGACGCTGTGCGTCAATTTCAACGACCGGCCATTCTGTGGCGCTGCATGCCCGGTGAATGGAAGCCTGGTCGACGCGCGCTAGCCAATTGGATCGCAGCGGTGCAAAAGGTACCGTTGGCTGTGGACGAGCGCTACCCAGTGCGATCGATGCACGTAAAAGGGCCGTTTAGCGTGGTTTCAAGCCTGATACGACGGCTCGCTCCATGAGACAGTTAATGCTTTCGCATTGAAAAAAATGCTGAGGTGAAAAAATTGCCAAAGAACATGAACGTGCTCAGCCCCCCCCCCCCCCTCGCCCCCCCCCCCCCCCCAGTGTTTTCCATAATATAACAAAACAAGATCTGACTTTTCTTCGCCATTTATCGGAAGCCAGCGCGAGGCACAGCTTAGACAGGAATGCTGCGTCATCGTTCTGCGAGACTTGTTTTCTCGTTGATTGAACTCGTGCCCTATACGAACGCGGATGAATACTCGTATCGTTCAACGCGCTCGCGTGCGGTAGCTGGTGTAAAAACGGGCCCTATGGTTTCCTTATATAGGAGCTTTTGGGTCAGTAAATTATGTTTTACAGTACGTAAATTCACCCTTCAGTGTCAGAAAGACAATGGCGTGAGCAGCCTATCCCTGGTCTGACCATAACCATATTTTTGATTGGTATGGAGGTGTCGTGGGCGCTATGCGTCACTAGAATTAACATTGTCCTGTGTAATGTCTCAAAGACTTGTGAGGCCAGCTGGCGCCACAATTCTTCGGTAATTTTATAATAACGCTACATTGTTTCGCAGCCATTGTACAAAAATCTGCATGTTTTAAGAGGCGTTTCATGCGCCTTTCCCCCAATAATTCAGACCTAAATGTTTATACCTTAAAACTTGAATTAGCCACGTATTAAAGTACCTAGACGCTTTCGCGTCTCCTTGCGACAACGTATTAGCTAGATGATATTGCTGATGTCAGTACAGATGGGCATGCATAGCAATGGTCATGGCTGCCTAGTCAGCATAAGCTGTGCCAAAAAGTTGTACGCAAGGTTACCGTTGCCCAAAATTATTTTTATATTTCAATTTCAAATAGCTTGACACTTGGGAAAACGCCATGACAACAAAGATGTAACCGAGTCTGCGTAGAAGTAAAGACAGTTGCTATGCATTTTCTAACCGTGCGGCCTCAGAATACCTCACAGGTATTCCACCTCGCTGAATTGAGTAAATATAGAAGGGCGAGATTATTGATAATTTCCGAACAACTGAGGCTTTATTGTGCCTAATTTTCTCATTGAACTTGACATCTGATAGTCGTGTAATGTTTATAAGATTACCGTTGCTCAGGAACAACAATAAGTCATATAATACCAGCAACACCATCTAGGAAGGTTGGCGCTAACGGTGCCTCGCGCACAATATTCGATGCTTACCCTGCTTTCTTTTTTTCCCAACCGCAGCCCGTCCGAATAACATTCGTGTGAAGCCTTCGACAGATTCCACCTTCAACGCCAGCGAAGTTATAACACTCGAATGCATGGCTGAAGGAAATCCCGCTCCAGAGTGAGTGGTCGCTTCCAAAATCAGACGTCGGACGCGCTCAAGTTTTAAAAATCACGCTTCCTCAAACGGATTAGCCTGAATCATTAGAGCTCGATTTCCTCGTAGACTGCATGTCATCACAAAAAAAGGTAAATTCGTTCTGATCCTTATTTTTTGCTCCGCTAGTGAATAAGTATCCTGATAGTTGCCGACTACTAAACGAACGCGCTACTTTACAATGAAGGGTGACTGCTTGCACTCTGTTACAAACGCAAAACAACCTGTGTCCGGCGTGAGGCCTAAAACTGCTGATTCGGTGCAAAAAAAGCATAAATAGTTGCATTACCAATTAATAAAAAAGAAGTTAAGTTTGCTTTGTTTTATTGTAAAACTCGAAGTGTTTCTTCTGTGTTTTTCTTTGTTTTTCTAAGGAGCGCCTGGGTAGAGTGGACGTGTTCAGCAATAAGTGTAGCTATAAAATCCAACTTAGTGAAAAAGTGTCTTTCGTCCTTCGAGGAAAATACTTGCTTGCTATAGTATGCCTTAACTTGCAATGAACATCGCTACGAGTCATCGAAGTCAATTCAATGTGTGAGTATCAGGTGAGCTTCGGTTGGGACGCAGCAACGGATGCGGTGCGTAGCCACGTGAAACGTTCGCATCGCTGCAACGGCTGGAATGGCCCGCACTGTCCTTTGCGTTTCACCGTCAGATAAAGGGTAGCATAGGCAAAATCTCTCCATATTTTTGGTAAAGTTTTTATCGTATGCAACGCTTCATTCCCCACACTACATGTGAGTCAGCTTCCATAAATTGTGCAAAACGACCTGCTTGGACAAGCACAATCTGACTCCATGCTTTCTCTTCGATAGTTTTTCGACCCTTGCCTCTTCACTATTTCTCAAATATTTGCTGCAACTTTTCGTGCCCGTGTTTCTTTGTGCCGTACAATATGCCTCATCTGAGTAGACGACAAAAAACTGTGGGTACCCTTTTTTCCATAGGATACGTTGGTTCAAGCAGAGTGAAGAAAATTCAACTGTCTGGAATAACCAGGGACAAAATGCGAAACTAGAAATATCCAATGCGTCATACAGCGACAAGGGCGTGTACCGCTGCGAAGCAACGAACACCATCGATAACCATTCCTACCTGGTACGGTCTAAAGGGATACGTATCGACATTCGAGGTGAGCTGAAAAGAATTTCCTATGTGCCCTTTCCACAAAGCGGTTGTAATCAAATCAGAGCGCACCTGCACAGTGCCGCTTGTATCGAAACCGATTGCACTGGAACACCTTATCAAGGGCTCTGTATGGAAAAAAGGAACATATTTTCATAGCTCAATTTTTTGTCTTTAAATGCTGCACAAAATATTCCCTGTTACAGAATGTATTCATTCACAAATCCACAAAGCATACGAAGGAGATGCCAATTTTAGTGCCGCTTTATTGAGGGGACATTAAAAAATCCAGAAAAAAACAACAAAATTAAACGAACGCAACAAAGAACGAAAACACGGCGCACCAATTAAGTGTCTGTCGAAAACAAGAAGGAAATACTAAGGGGCACAAAAAGAAAGACCCATGGAACTTATAGCCTCGCATAGAAAAAACGATAACGATGCACTATTCAGTGCCTAATAAAACCAAATCACATTAAAGCCGCTCGTTTGGTCATACATATTTATCGTGAGTGTGTTACCTTTTAGCCGGAAGCTCTCATCATTTCCAAAAAGCATCTGCCGTCCGCGGTAGCATTTTGAATGATAGATCGATTCCAACCATAAACGTTGCCTCTTCTGGGCAAAAATGTTCAACATGAGACGAAAGAAAGCGGGGACGATCGGTCGACCAGGGCAGCCGGTTTTGTGGATTTTGGGGAGAAGGTAAAAGGATGGGGTTAAGGGGAACTTCTTTCACAAGGGGGGGGGGGGGGGGGGGGGGGAGGGAAGGTGGTACGTTTGTACTAACTGTGTGTTCGGTGGTGCTGGTGACTGTTGATTTTCGGTGGTGCACTCTTGGAAAAAAGGATATCGATAGCCCACCCTAAAAGGAGGAACGGTCTCGTAACCTATGTTCCTTTGGAAAGGGAGAAACTTTCGGCCCTGAAGCAGGGAAGCAAATGGTTCCTCCGTCGTCTGCATCTCATTATGGCCACCCCGAATCAAGCAAATCGAGCTCAATAAGGCTTAACGAGGACACAACGTCTCTTGTACGGGGCGAGAGGAGCAGCATATAAAAGCTTAACACGAGCTTTCCGCGAACTGTGGTTATTTCCGAAGCCAGATTCCCCCCGTAGGTACAAAAACGTGCTTTTCAAAAGCAGTTACTCAGTCTTCTTGTCGCCAGCACCACGATGTTAAACGGAGACAACCGATACCCAGTTACTTCGCGCACTTTATGTCTTACCTTTGGTGTTCTTTGAGTCACAATTCCTTCGTCAACCGCACATCACGGAGGAATGGCAAACCAATCCGCGAAACCAGAAGTAGCTCTCAAAAGAGCAAACCCGAAGCCGCTGTTTATCGTGTAGCGTGAAAGAAGGTTAAATTGCTTACCACCAGATGGCAGGGTCAAACAGAATAATGGCAAGTAGCTATGTTAGGTGGCGCTAGGTACCGTCCAATTCATGTTCTACAAAAATATTTTATCTCTTTACGACACCATTGCACTCCGTGACCTACAGGAATCTCTATTATACACACATGTGGACGCTAATACGAACACTACAAGTATCAGCTGAACATACATTGAGCGCATACACACACATGGCAAATACAAACATCAATACAACGAAACACTAACCCGATCGCTACACCCGAGCTTTGCGTTTCCGTCTTTTATACAGGTCGTTGTAAACGTACGGAATTTCTCGGTGATTGCCTAAGCAATAAAAAATATTCGCAGCATGTTGATTTTTTTTCCAGCAATGTAATACCTCTGAGAGTATTTTGAATGGCTCAGGGTATCAATTTCTTAATAAAAAGAAAACGCTCGATCATGCCGTAAACATTTGAAACCCAATAAATCAAGCCGCTCCGATGCCGTTCCACGCCATGAGTTTGTTTCCCCGAACTGCACGTCGTAGCCAGTATTTCTATTGGAGTGTTTGTTTTTCTACTTTTGCTGTTCGCGCACGGCTAAAATTGCTGTCTTGAATTAATCTCTGTAGAGCGGATATTCACTCAGCTGGAAGTGATGCTTCACGGGCAGAGAAATCGCTTTTCGTTGAACTTGAATGCACTTAAACCGCGACTTGCGGCAGGTGGTAAATGTACGGAGCTACGCCGTGGCGAGCTCAAAAACTTCTAGCGCTCATTCCAGCGCGCCGCTTGGAGGGCACTTCCGCAGGAACCGTAGTATATTTAAACAGAAAAATAAGGGATAGTTTTGTTTTTCGATTTTACCTACTATTCTTTTTTAATGCTACATTTCCACAGTGTAAACATACGTACTTTCCATCACATTTCAGTACTGCTCAGTTCCTTCCCCAGAACGCAATCGCTCTCGGGGAGGAGACAACCGACAGTCACATCGGCCACTGTGTACGATGGGAGCTTACTGTTCAGACCAGCGTTTCAAAATGACTATACGCACGTCGATCAATGGCACCTAATTAAGTGGTCTTAAACTCTTCTATGTAAAGCGGAATGTCAACCTGCGACACCCCGCCCCCTCCAATCACGGCCCGACTAGCGGCATCAATGCCCGACAGTTCATGTCATTTCATCTTGTTGTTACACAATTTATACGCGAACACACAGTCACTTCGGTGATAATTCCGGTCTTCGGTTCACAACGAAGAACACTGCCATCTGGATGTTGCTGACACGCAGAAATACAAAACCACGTTGATTGCCGGTTGGCACTCGGCGTCGGAAAAACAGAACCGAATTCAGCACGGAAGGCAACCAGGCAGCTGGCAGCAAAACCTGCCTGTCTTGGACGCAGTTTGTACGATTTCCATAACGCCAGAAACGTGGACACAGTCCCGCGGGGGCGCATTTTTCGGAGGTCGATACGGGGCAGAGCAAAAAGAAGCAGAGTAGTAGTTTTACGTCTGTGACATCACAGCCGGTTTTCGTCAAAATATAGCTATTTGCAGCGATTTGTACCTATTTTGTTACCTTGACATCTTCACCCCTTCACTTCGCCCACTCCTTCGGAGTGTGCTCCAGCTCGTTCCTCCGAAGTCAACACAACTGTCATAGTATATATAGTAAAATACCGCCCGTGCCAGTCGTTTGCAAAGCGACGTAGATGGAAACATATCGCCCCGGAGTTTTATGCGGCATCGGAGATTAACTACGAGAGTGTCAACTAGAGCACGTAAATACCTGTGCACACTCGGAGCGGAGGCGCGCGTTTGATCGAAGGGTTTCCGGACCGATCTTTTCAGGTTACCACTCGATACTGACGTGACACTCGACAAAGAAAGGTGGAACCGGCATTGCGTAGCTCCCACAATCTGTTACAGCTCGACAGTGACGCACAGTCGTGTCAGAATAAAAATAGCATACTAGTAACAAAGTGTACGTAAATACCGTGTTGCGAAGGTAATCCATACGGCGTTTATTTGAGCTCCATATCACACAAAACAAGGAAATAGGATATATGAGAGTCCCTTTTCGACGACAGCGTTCGTCACCGCTGCCTCGGAAAACAAGGAGATGACAAGGGGAAGAGATTCACCTCTTAGGGCAGCGATCAAACTAACATACGGGAAGGGGCCACAAGGGTTGCGCGGGCGCTTATTCCATTCAGCAAGCCAGCCGGTCGTGGGCAGACGGCCTTGACCAAGGACCGTCGGAGCAACGCTGCGCCGAGTCGGAGTGCCAGCTAGGCCTAAATTCTGCCGAGCTCGCTCGGTGGGTGTCATCGCTACCGTTGTAGCTTTTCCCAAGTGTTTCTGGATCCAGCGTTCGTGCCCGTCGTGGCCGGCTTCGAGTACTCCCTTCTTTTTTCTTGCTGCTTGAAAACGAGACCCGCGAGAAGAGCATGTAGAAAATTGAATGTCCGTTGGTCGTCGCGACCAAGCGACGTTGTCGGACATGTTGATTTGATCGTATAAAGACGATTCCGGAGCTATTCTCATACGTACATCTTTGGCGTAAGATCGTTTCTTGAATCTGGCCTCTGTTCTTTAGCGCATGGCACTGCAGAAAATAACACAGCGCAACCGCGCCTCCCCCCGCCCCAAAACTGGACAGAAACAACCCGCAATAAACGCTCCCAAAACGCAAAAAAAAAAAAGATTATATATATTTTGCTTGCTTTTGCGTTTCCGGCAGTGACGTCGCTGACGGAACTGCCCCGTATAGACCTCCGAAAAAGGCGTCCCAGTTTCGCGTGGGTTTCGCAATCCGGAGACGGCCATCTTGCCCAGTGTACGTAGCGCTGCTGCTCCCGAACTTCGCTGTTTTCAGTGGCTTCGTTTTCTCGGTTGATAAATTTGGTGATAAAAACGTCAATGCAACCGAAATGTTCTGAACGTTTGGACTAGAAGACGAAATTACAGGCGGTCTTCGCTGCCGCTGAAGCTGAATCAGCTCAAAAACATTTATTAAACAACGTGAGCGACGTGCTCGAAAAACGAAACCGAAAGAAGATGAGTTGGGAGGGCGAAAGCTTTCTCCCGTCTGCGTGGAGAAGGAGAAAAACGTCTCGTTCCTCTCTTTTTCTCTTGTCCGCTTGGCGGCGCGTCAGTAGAAGGGACGAAGACGCACCATTGCTACCTTTTTCCTCCATTTTTCCTTAGAGTGTGGGGTAGGATCAGCAACACCCCGTAATCGATAATTTCATAAAGATGTGGAGCACTATCATTGAGCCCCTTTCTGGTTAGCTTACCTCCCCTTCCCGTAACCTTCGCGGAGACAAGCTTTCCGCACTCCGGTCCCTCCAAAAACGCTAGGACTTAATCATCAAACCTCCCATGAAGTGAACGCCATTTTGCTTTGGCGTAGAGACCTCTATAGGGGGAAGCACACCTTCAACTCGCCGAGCCCGACTTTCATGAACCCCTCCCATCCAACCCCAGCAACGGGTATCGACAAGCAATAACCAACATTATCGAACACACGATTCGTACCAAAGCCCTTCCACCCCTCGCTTCCCGTCTAATTTTAATCATCCAAAAACCCCATCCTTCTACCTTTCACCAAAAATTTACAAAACCGGCTGCCCTGCTCGACCCATATTGTTTCCGCTTTCTCTTGTACCGTGTCGCACATTTCCGCTTTTGTAGACGCAATCCTCCAGCCGCTAGTACGGAACTTGACTAACTACATTAAACACACAACGCACGTCCTCCTACGCCTACATCCCTACACCCCTGATTCTGACACTTTTTTTTATCACGTCCTTAGCTTTCCTACTTCATCTGAAGTCGATCTACTACCTGCCAACTTTCCTTCTTTCCCCCTAACTTGCCCGCGTGTAGCTAGTTTTGACCCTGTCAATATCCTTCTGTAGTCAGGGTTGCCAGGTACTTGCAGATTTACCCGCCAAGTATTTATGAGTTATACACAAAAAAACAGTCAATTGTCAGGCTATAAAAAATCCCAAATAACTCAAAACAGAAACCCTTATACAACGATTTTGAAGAGTTCTCTGGAACACTAATGACCTAATTAAAGTACTTATGAAATAACGCTGTGTCTAAAGGTACGTCGGACGTACCCAGAACGAGGAGTCTAAAGATACGTCGGACGTATTCGGAACGAGTAGCCTAAGGGTACGTCGGACGTATCCGGACCCCGGAGCCAGGCTCAACCGAAAATCGATTTTTGAACACAACGCAGAATCGATAGGCGGGACGCTACAAATTCCAAAACATCACTCATAAAGTGGTATCTTCAACGGATCATCGTATTTTTGTAAGAAAAGAGCGCGCTTGAACAAGGCCGAAAAGACGTGTGACCTCGCGATTCTCATTTCCTCCTCTTCTCCGCGGGGTCACAGAGAGGAAAGGGGGAGCGAGGCCATTTCTCCTCCTTCTCAACTCTTCTGCGATAAAATGACGTCAACATTCTCCCTCATTCGCTCCTTTATTTTCCAGAAATACGGCCATCCGCTCGATATATGGCTATATGAGTGATGTTTCGTGGTTTATGGCGAACGGTTAAACACTTCTGCAAGCTTATTTTGTGAAATTCGAATTTCGGTTCAGCATCCCTTTAAGATGCATGTTGGACGAAAGCAGAACCGGGAGATGCGTGGGACGAAGCCGTGATGTGGAAGGGTTGCATCACTACGGGTTATAGCGTGCCTTCCTGAGACCCCAATGGCAATTTTCATTCTATCTTTATTTCTCATCGCTATCGTAATTAGTTTATTCTAAGCACTCCTCTCTTTACACACCCGCCATGCTCGCACTGCTCAAGGAAAGGGGGGGGGGGGGAGTGTTGCGGGTGTTTACATTGGGGAAATGCTCCGAAATTGCAAAATTTGTGCAAGAAATATAAATTTAATATAGGAAATTTATAACATCAATGCCACTGAAGGAATAAAACCAACCCCGAAGAGAAGTATCTCACCCGCGTTAAATTCTCACCGCGCACCACTGTCAACCAATTGATCTCCCGACGACTCGTCGAGTCCTCGGTGTCCCCATCCAGTTAGCTGCATACAAACTTACGGATTTTCTTCTCGTGTTCCGGGTGTCGACTTTTGCATTATTGGGCGGTCCCATACACTTTTTGCGGGTAGCGGCGCCCTTAAATACCTACTCCCGCTGTCTATTCTACCGTATCACGCGGTATCGGAGATGCTCTGCAGTGCCATGGTTCCCGTTGTCTTTCGCCTACGTGATCACCGTTCGCTCTAAGTTCATTGTGTACAAAGTCCTCATCGCACTCATGGTAGACAGCAAAGTTCTGAACGCCTGAACAAATGGACTGAACCACGTAAATAAAAAAAAGGCGCGCTTGCAAGTCAGGTGACGGGGTCAAACGAACGGCGACGAAACCGAAACAGAACACACAACGAACACACAAGGTGCTGTGCTGCCAGCACGTAAAGTGGGCACAAAACTAAAAGCGTGGATAAGACGTCAAAAAGAAGGGAAAAGGATACAAGCGACGTTTCGGACGCTCAGCCCTGCTTGAGAGCAGACATGGCAAGTCTCCGATCTCTAATTTCTCGTGGAGAATTGGGGTGCTTACAATATGTCCGCCATACTTTAGACTTCTCCTTCCGGGTACGTCCGACGTACCTCTAGACTCCGCGTTCCTGATACGTCCGACGTACCTTTAGACACAGCAATAAAATAATGCAAAAATAAGACCAAACATTACTAGTTTCCAGAACAAATAGCGGGGCACGGGTACATCACTGCAGTAATGTAAAGTTCCAAAAAACTAACGTACTTTAAATAAAAAGGATCGCGGCTCCAAGAACGAAAACCATTGGAGGACCCACTTTTTGCATTTTCTTGCTTGTGATATTGATAGTTCACTTTTCTTCGTTTTAAAATTCATATTTGTTTCCTTCCTGGCTCGAAAATACCTTGTTTAAAGCTTAGAAAGCAAGTGCTTTGAAATCGCTTAAATCTCGGGTTTGACGTAACCTAAAATAGCCAGATAACAAAACTAAAATTTTCCCGCCAACCGCAAAAATGATTAGCACAATTGGGATCTTTATAACCCAACCTGGCAACCTTGTTCCACACCTATTTGGTTGTCATTTTCTGCTGTGCCTTCATTGTGTTTGTTTCAAACTTCAGGCACTATGTTCCGACAGTTCTCGCGTTCATCTCCTTGATTTTTCTTAGTTTTCCTAGCTATCTTAAGTAATTAAATCACTACTTCAAGTAGGCTTGGGAAACTTATACTTTACTTGAAATACATTGTCTGAGCACGTACTTGCAATTTACCTAAATTAGTTTTTCCTGTATGCTTCGACGAAAGTACACCTTCCGACTTCAAAATATATTGCCCAGATTTAGTGTCGGCAAAATGAAGCTCTTTGGAGGGCTACGCCCTCTCATCCTTGGCTCTCCCAGTACTATACACAACATCTAAGGCCGAGTATAAACGTTCACTAACCTCTAACGAAAATTGGCCTATCGTCGAGTGAAAAAGTGCTATCATCTTTGATGACGTCATCTAGTCATTTCTTTGAATGAAGTAATGGCGGCTACAAGATTGATATACACAAGCGCCATATAAGTTTATTGTGTTAAATAGTTTGTCAGCTAGAGCAAAAGATCTACCTTGTGGACACTAGACTTTAGCCAATATTCGCCGCCAATTCCGAAAATAATTGATGCCCACTAATTTACCCTTAGGGTAATGCACACAAGTTGAAAGAAAACTCTGTAGGAGAATGAAAACGCATCATGAAAGATTGGGTTAAAAATAGCTTGCACTTTATTCTGAAATCACCTTCTATTTATTGTACTTTACTTCAAGTAAATAATCCAGTGTACTGACTACTTTACTTGAGTACATAACTTCTCGTTCATTTTGTTCTTTACTGAAAGTTTATAGTTTGCTTTACCCAACTCTGGATTTCATGTAGTGTGAAAAACGTTGTGCGCCCAAAACTTCGCTTGTTCCCTTTCTTCTGCTTTTTTGCATGATTGTTCTCTTGTGCATTTAGTCGTATTGTATACGTGCAGCGACCTTTGCTATTCTGAGGTGCTAAATGTTGAATACCTTACCATCTTCGTTCACAAATTCACTCAAGTTTAACAGTTCTTTCAGACACAATACGTTTCTAAATAAGACACGTCTCCCATCATCAAGACGCTCATTTACTTATCGCGTAATTATTATTGTCACGGTTAATGCATGTTTCGTTTCCTTTACGTTATCTGACTATTTGATTAAGATGATACTGGGCTAATGTTTTACCTTGTTTTAGTTTTTTTCAATATCACTGCCTGTCATCTCACTATCTTATAAAGAACTTCCCAAGCCAGCCCAATTGATCATGGGCCCAGATGGTCTTTCAGTAACTTGTAATATGCAAGGGGTCCAACAAGTTCGGCTGCTCGGTTTCACAAAATGTAACAGAAAAGCAACCTCCTGCGTTAGAGGCTGGCATGTTTCAGTCTTATGATTCTTCTTTTAGTGAACTGTAGCTGAAACAGTCATTTATAAATACCGTGGTTGCTTGCGGGCGCCTCCTTCCTTGTGACAGGACCCCCCAACTTGAGTATCTACCCCGAGAGTGGCGAGTTGCAGGTAAAAGAAGGAGACCCTTTCGAAATCGGCTGCACTGCTTCCGGATATCCAGACCCAGTTATCTCCTGGAGGCACAGGGTAAGTAGAGAAGAACCAAACCGCTGAGATAACCCCCCCTTGGCAACAAAATACATCATCTCCACGTACTTCGGCTAGTAGAGTGCTTCGATTCGTGCAAAAACTTCGAAAAAGATATATGCTCTTTAGTTCTCGCTTCCGTATTATTATGTATTTTTTTGGGGGGTTCTCATTGTCGTGTAACATTGTTTTCGAAGGAATATGCCGTTTTTAACTTATCATATGAGATATTGTTATGCGATGACGTCGCTTTGGTTCACTTCTTGAATTCGCACATATCTGTTGTTTTTGCTCATATGTTGAACAATTGCCTGTAGTACTTTTTTTTTAAGAGCCATGTCCCTAGATTAAGTTACAGAAATTCTCATACATCAACTGCTACAACGGGAGCCTCCGTGGTTCTTAATTAGTAGCAGTTCCTTGCATACTCAAGCTTGGTATCTTAATAAAAGTGATCGAGGTTTTAATTTTATTTTTATTTTATCATCCTCCTGAACGTGTCATAATTTCTGCGGTCATAGGTTACGTTTAGATTTCTAAAAAATGAGAAATAAAAGTGAGAATGCTTATGAAAGCATCACGCTACAGAACCTATGCTGCTGTGCCCGGTCCTCTTTTGTCTTATGTGTCAGTCCGCCCTGCCTGTTTCAGCACTGGCTTACCTCTGTGAGCTGATTATGGATTCCTTCACATGGTGGAGTGAATTGAGCAGCATTCTACCTTGGTGCTAATCTTCCAAAGCGATGTAAATTTAGACGAATCTTTTCTAGCACAAGCTTCTGCATCACAAACATTCCTTTGAAATCCATGTTACCATTCTTCGTGAAAGCTGCGGTGACTTTCTCCATTTTTAATTATATGATTCACTCCGTGCATTGTCCACGCAGTTGTTTCTTTCTTTCTTTTTTGTACGCGTGGTTGCTGGGTGTTTGAAGTTACAATTGACAACATCCGCTTGCTTGTTTACGCTCAAAACACCGGGGAAAAGTGTTGCCAGTGCTTTATGAAGCATGCCAGTTAAAATAACTTGCTGTGCGAGCGAGCCTGTGGGAGTTTACCATAGTGAGATTAACTGGAGTTTCGGCCACCTGAAGAAAATTGTTTAAGGTGGTAGGAAAAAGAAATTAGCACAGACAATGTCTCGACTCTAGAGACATTGTCTTGTCCTGTTTTATTCTACCATTCTACACTTTTTCCCGTGTTGTGCTCCAGACTCTGTTAAATATTACTAATATTTCCCAATTTCTTTCTTAATTATGGTACAATATACAGGTTGTCCCAGATAGTTTGCACCAAACTTGAGACAAAAACGAAGCGTTCTGCGCTAGTCAAGCAAAATTTATATCGTTAGCATGCGTCTTACGAAAGTGCACAAAATGTTATTATTGTGCCTAGTTATTTAATTATTGAAGACTAATCAGCTACCTTTTTATATATACGTCTAAGGGCCAAGGTGTTCACTGGAAAGCTGTAGAGCGCATTGAGAAACACCCAACTAAGGTGTTTGCTACGTGACACGCTTTATGAGCTTTTTTTATTAGCCAAAAGGAATCCCGCGAAATGCAAAAAAAAGACCACGTGACAACGCGCCCGCGTGTAGCGCTTGCAGCGCTCTCAGACGTCCTCTGAAAGAACGAAGTCCACCTTATCAGTGGCGCGCAGTCCGAGACAAGGCTTCGTGTTGAGATAGTACCCAATGATAAGCGCGAGCACCTGCTGGCGGAAAGCCCGCCCTTGGACAGCGCGCCAGTGGTAAGGTGAACTTCGTTCCTTCACAGCGCTGCAAGCGTGACGTGCAGGCGTGGTCACGCGTGTGTGTTTTTTTTGGGTATTTTGCCGGCTTCCTTTTCAGGCTAATAAAAATAAGCGCCTAAAGCGTATCGGGAATCAAGGAATTGATATTGGCGTGTTTCAACGGACGCTAGAAACTTTCAATTCACACCTATGCCCTTAAACGAATATTCAAAAAACAGCTAATTAGGCTTAAACAGTTAATTGCGAGGCGCACAAAAAAAATGCACACTTTTCCACACTTTTAAACCACTTACAGTTGGCTTCAGCCTCGCAGACTGCGCCTTTTGTATTGCAAAAGTTTGGTGGTCCTAATCTGGGACACCCTGTGTACACACACACACCGGATATATATATATATATATATATATAAAGCAAGTCTTCGCCACAAATTTAATCCGTATATGACGATTATTAAAGCAAGTAAGCTTGGTTTTTGTAAAGACGTAAAATAGGCTGTTTTAGATAGCTGATATGTGACTTGTTTTAATAGGGTAAGTACAAGCATTAAAACAGGTTATTTTGAAAATAGTGCGAAATTAACAAAGAGGAGAAAAAGTGCGGCGATTGGGGTGACACACTCTGATCACCGGCATTGTTAGTCCATGAACATATACGCTGAACCAGCTGGATTCAGCGAACTCAATATTGGCTGGAAGGCTTAAGCATCCTCTTTGATGTCAAGTCATATGGGCAGATCAGCCTTTACTTTCGCAAGCTAATAACTACGCGCCGAAACACAGAGCTAAAGGAGGAGACAACAGCGCGCGGTTACGACAGAACGCCGAGCTCTGGTTGGAATGACTAGTCGATAGACCTATCCACTTGCCATTGTCTCCACGGAACTAGTCGAACGGTTAGCAGGCAGAGAGCCGACGTCCGGTGTTTGACTTTCGCATACGATTGTGTTCGACAAGTGCAGTGGAGACAAAGGAAGCCTTTGTCTCCCCTGCACTTTGTCTAAAGTGTTAGAACGCGGAACACCGGCGACCTGTGTTTGGCTCTCGCATTCCAACGCGTTCGGCGAGTGTAATGGAAAAAAAGGCAGCTAGCTTTAGGTCTCCCCACTAGTTTTAATGCGAAAGCATTAACGTTCCATAGAGCGAAACCTGTGTTGTCTGTAACCGTCTGCAGCAGAAAAACGGCACACACAAGCGGAATTCCCATTGGCTGCGACGGGTCATATCAGATGCTTCGCCACGGAAGCCAGCGGGGCGCTCAAGGTTAATCATGAATGAGTGAATCGTGAAAACGTCAGTGAATCGTGAAAACGTTATTTGAAACTGAAACTGTGGAGGAACTTGAAAACCGGACTTCGAACTTTGAAAACTTGGACTAGAAAGGAATTCAAAATCTTCGAAGTTTCTTTCTTTTTTTTTTGGGGGGGGGGGGGGGAGTTTAGCGTCAAAAGAGAATCGAAACATTCGACCTCTTCGAACTTTATGGAGAAAAAAGTTCGAAATCTTCGAATTGTTCGAACTTCATGTCTATAAAAATTCGAAGCGTTCGAGGTTTTCGAATTTTATTTCCAAAGAATTTCAAAATCTTCGAATTTATCGAACCTGAAGTAAAAAAATATTCGAAATATTCGATTCCGAAATTTTAGAAAACGTGAAAGCTTCGAACTTTTCGAATTCGAAGCTCCACTGTGACCGAAAGTGGCGAATTTTTCGAATTCGAACCTCGGTTGGTACGAAAATATCGAAATTTTTCGAAATCAAACCTTAGCTCGCTTCGCAAATATCGAAACCTTTCGAAATCGAACTTAGGGTGGTTCGCGACATCCCTAGTTAAAGCGGAAGCGCCTCAGAAGTAAAATGGAAATAAAAACACAGCAACGCAGATTTATCGTCACGGAAGCCGTGGAGCCGCCGGGTGATAGAGTGTGATGCCACCGCCGGCGGGCCATGTGAAAAAGGAAGACGTGGCCAGCTGCTTGTAGGAATGCTCTGCGTGTAAGAATGCTTTTACATTCGCACACGTAAGCAGTCTTAAGTGCCTCTTCCGAATTCTCCAACCAATACTCGGCGTTTTGACGTCCCCGTGCACACCTCCCTCTCTAGCTCAGTTAGTTGGCGAATCGAGTGTTTGCCGCTGTAATAAAACGTTCCAATATCTTAACTTTCCACGAAGGGATGTGGTGCGTAGGGTTGTAGGGCTTTAAGGTTGGGATTCTTTATTGTAAAGAATTCGAAGTTACTGTATGCTGAACATTTATTTGCACGAATATTGTTGTATGTCCTGATCGCATCCAAATTTCAACAAAACAGTCCAACTTTGCAATCTTTGAATAAACTTGGCGGGGGGGGGGGGGGGCATTTTTCATGTGTTCAAGATTGTACCCAGAAATTTTGTGACTTGGCCATGATGATTTGTCCCCTATAGTTCACAATTTCTATACGCGATGTTATCATGCATGCCGGTAAAATTGGGAATCGTCAACAACTACAAAAGTTTATTCCTTTCTGCCCCCGATTTACTCGGGAAAGCTTATAACAAATTGGCGACATGTGTCAAACCTGTATTATCTCCTTACGCCAAGCATTAGCCGTGTTCAGCTCCACCATGCCGAAGTACGGGACCCTGGAAGTCTTTGACGGGGAACCAGCGGACTGGTTAGAGTGCATGGAACGCACCGCGCTGTTCTTCGAGGCCAACGGCATTCCTACTGCAAAAAAAGGTCAGCTTTTCTGACGTCCTGTGGTGCTAAAACATACTCCCTTCTGCGGAGCATTCTGAACCCCAAGGCTCCCAACGAAGTGAGCATAGAGGAGATTTTTGGCGCTCTCAGCAACCACTTCACCCCAAAACCCTCTGTTGTAGTCACCCGTTGCAAGTTCAACAGCCGATGTCGACACACGGGAGAATCTGTGAGCGACTATGTTGCCGCACTCAAGAAACTAACCGAGCACTACGAGTACGGAACATTCCGGAATGACATGCTTCGCGACAGACTTGCCTGCGGCATCAATGACTCCACAATGCAGACACGGTTGCTTGAAGAGCTTAATCCCAGGTTCGAGTCCGCGATCCAGCTTCTACTAGCGATGGAAGCTGCGAAGAACGATTCGAACTTGCTAATGAAACAAGGAAAATGTCAAGTGGCGTCCGAAGCTATCAACGTGGCCAAAGAAGCTTCATCGAAGAGCATCACTTGCTATCGTTGTGGAAGGCCTCATTATGCGTCTGTGTGCAAGCACTCGAAAACA